AGAACAATTCTGAATAGTCTTCAAATGGGTGATGGACAAGTGACAATATGGTGCCAACAGCCTTACTTGTATTTTGTGTGCCAACAGTTCTCAGAAACATTGCAGTCCTTCCTGCAACTTATAGAAATTGAAATTCTCCCACATTTACAGGTTCAGTTCATTTATCTAGAGCAATGAGATGCTTGTTTTTCTTTCATGATATTCTGTTTCTGCTATCATACTTCAGTTGTTGGTATGAAAGAAATAGGCTTTTTATTTTTAGATTTTTTTCTTCACAATGAAATATTTGAATACTTAGTAAGATTGCGCACAGCACATGACATAACTTATAAGTTATTAATGCCCTTTCAATTTTCTCCTCAGGTAGAGAAAAAAAAAATATCTGCCATACATTCATGTGTGTTTCATGGTTTTGTATTTGTAGTGGCCATGGTGATGCAGACCTTAGAAAAGGACATACTATTTCAATTCCAATCTGAGTTTTATCTTTGACTCTTGAGCTCCTCTTACAATTTAGGCAAAATACTGTGAAAATCAACAGCTCACACTGTTTGCTTCTCCTAAGGGTGGGTCAAATGTGTGACTAATTAAAAGAAAGCCTATCAGGGCCTCCCCCGTGTTGCAGTGGTTGACCGCTGGGTTGCGAAGCTGCCCACAGCCTCTGCAGCACTGGTTCGATCCCTGGCTGCTCCCCGACCACCGGAGGAGGGTCCCACATGGTGCGCAGACCTCTCCTGCCGCCCGCTGCTCCCCTCAGCAGTGTACTTTGGTCCTTCTGCCTGCTCTGCTCCCCGCTCTGGCTCTGGTGAATTCTCTGACCCTCCCGCGCTTCTGACTGTACTCAGTGCTTGTATAAATAAATAAAAAAATAAATAAATAAAAAGCCTATCAGTATTAGTGTATTTGTTCAAACCTAAAAAAATTTCCTACAAAATAAATCCCTCAAATAACTCTCTCTCTCTCTCTCTCTCTCTCGTGTGTGTGTAACATATAACATGTTATATTTCTATCTGCAAAATTGCTAATTCATCAAAATATTTCTTTTGAGAAATGAGTGATCACTTATTTGAAACCACACATATCACAATTTTCCACCTGGGAGGCTTTTTTTAAAGGATCTTAATTTCTCTAGCTGACTTGAAAATGAATGACCTTCATTTTGCCATGTAATGGGTTTTATCATGGTGGAAAGATGATTGAATAATTACAGCCTGACATTCATGTGACTTCTCCTGTGTACTTCCTTAGGAATGGCTCATTACATGACATCAAAACCAAATTTTCCAACTAGAAAAAGGTTTGTATTGAGTGAATTTTGAAAGGAGAAAATAACAAACCACCCAAAATTCTTCAAACAATAAAAGAGAGATGCAGGGAAAAAAAAAAACAAAAAAAAAAACAACTTGGCATTTGCTCACCTCTTTTAACTCTTGCTCTTTCATAAAACAGAAACATGTTGGAAGGATTGTGAACAAAAGGTCTTAATTGCAAAACATTCTTTAGGAGTGTTGGAAAGAAAATAACAGAGTAGATTAATTGAATCTGGACAAAGCATACTTGTCTCACATTTTTCAGTTTTGTTATGTTTAAATACTTATTCAGAATCTGAATTTAGTAATGACACCATGAATTCTTTCACATATGTTAGATAGAGAAGAGTGGTGTACTTATCACAACTAACCAACAAAGCATAATTAGAAACACAAGTTGTCAGGCAGAGCTCATGCGAGGAAATTTTATCCCTACCACTGTGTAAGCTTCGAGAGAAGACTCAGTACCTAAAACTGGAGCCCCTGTGCTATTAGGAAAGTACTTGACTCTGATAATGCCTTTTTAAAAGGTGCAGAGATTTGTAGATAGAAATGCACCAATGTCAGGTGGGTTTGTCCCCTCCAAGTGGGATGGATACAAGGATTTGGGCATAACAGCTTCCATTGTCAAGTAATATGATTCTTTTTTCTTATAAAGATGGAAGCCATTATTTTTCAAAGCATGTGGATTTAATGGTACATACTTGATTAATGACTAAAAATTATTTTTCTCATGCTTTATTAGCATCCCCATACAATTAAATCATTTCTTTTGAAACTTTGTGCTGAAATCTGTTTTACCAAGGTAGTCACTATGGCCTGTATATTTTAGGCTTTAAACACATTAGAGATATGGAAAATGTAGGTTTTTCTTTCTTGAATTCCATAAGGCAAAAAATCACTGTCCTTCCACTGCATTTTGCAGGTACAGATATGATGTTGGTCTGAACGACTTAGAGGAAACTTAGTTTCATCTACACCTCAATCTTGTCAGAATGACATGGGTGTGTGAGCTTAGTTGGATTTAACTGGATATGAACCTGAGCACAGATTACAAATGCAAATCAAGTCTCCATTGTTTTAACCATAAAAGGCATGAACATAAATTCCAAAGCTGATTCCACATGAAATGACGTGGGATAGCAATATTACTTCCTTTTGTGGACCTGTTTCTACTCCCACAAGACTTAAAACCTCTTTACCTCTCTTGAGGCTTGTCAGTGCAAGCCCATAAACATTTACCTGTATAAACTTATAATTAAAAAATATATTCTAATCCTTCAGCAAGTAATTATATTGAGTATTATTCACTCTTCACAAGAAATTCCTTAAAGATCTAAAGGTGACAGGCTCATCAAATTTTCACTGCCTACCTCCATGCATTTCCATTTTTGGAAGGATCCTCTCACTTTCTGCTTAACATACAGGAATACAAAAAGAAATTCAAAGGAAGGTATCTTGAAAGAAGAACTTCATTAAATAATTATCAAATTAGAAAATTACATAGCCAAATATTCCACACATATATAATAAGATGAGATCTACATGTGTTTGCATGCTTGTATGGGAAATACAGTCTCTTGCATATATAAATATGCATAATGTTCTCATACAACATAATTAGAGAAAATTACATATCTAGTCAATTAGTCCTCAGAACAATTTTCTTCATATTTTCCTTTTCCTTAGCTAAAATGGCCCTGGTAACCCACCACCACCTGCAGTCTCTCTCTCATGTACTCCCCTCTTCAATTCTCCATCAACCTCCACATTTCATGCCTTCCTAGCAAGACCATCTCCTTCCTCCCCTTTTTAGTTTTGTTCATTATCCCACCCCCTTCCCAAGTGTCAGATACTGGGCAAGACTCCAGCAGTTGTGGGTGGACAAAACAATTACATAGAAACTCTAGCAGAAACAAAGAAGACACTCTGTGTGATGTCATGGATGGCCCCATCCATGTTCTCCCCATCTGTTTGTACCTCAGCTACAAAGAAGAGGATATGTCATCACTCTAAGAATTTGATTGCCAGATTATCCTTCTATTCCAGTCTACTGGTATACAGAAAGTACAACGTAGCCAATATACTTCCTTTAGAGTACCTCCATACCCTTTAACTCAGGAGAGACTGGCATGTTTTGGTGAGATGGAACTTAAAACTAATCTCAGCTTCACATGTCTCTCCCCATATGTAGAACAGTATCGGGGAACCCCAGCTGTGTTGGTACAAGCCTGAGCTCTAAAACAGTTCTTGGGAACTCCCTACCCTCAGGTTTAATGCACACTCCTAAGCTGGCAAAGCCAGCTTCTTCCCCAGCTGCCACTCTGCAGTCTTTGTCTACAGCCTGGCAAGACCCAGGAATTTTATATTCTGCCATCAGCTCTTGGAATAGGTACCATCAGCCTTGTGGGAGTGGATGCTAAGTAATCAGACAGCTCTGCCTTGGCTCAGGAGATAGAGTCAAGTTGGGAATTTCTCATAGATTTCCCCCTCTCTTACTTTCTACTTCTCATGTGAACTAAGGGGGTGGGGGAAATTGAATCTCCTTGTCCTGGGAAATCGTTTCTCAATCTCTTTTTTATCACTGCTCTCCTAAAGAAACTTTTAAGTCTTGGTTTGTTAGTAAGTTAATAAACTTTCTCCCCCATGACAATTTAATATCACAGGTGTACTGCATATTTCTTTATATACTGTATGTAGTTCTGTGTTTTATATTTAACACAAACTGGATGCTTTGAGCCCTCAAGAATCTGTCTGCACCCTTTGGAGGTGATGTAGTCCCCATTAAAATTCATGCTGTGTGGATTTTCTGTATCTTTGATGAAGGGCTTACACTGATTTTGGTTGCCTACAAGGGGTAGTCCCCTGCACACATCATCCCATTGCATCCTCTCAGCTGTAGTTCATTATCATGTTGAATCCTCTTAACAACAGGGAAATATCAGCAGCTGTTTGGGGCCAGAGATATGGCTGTAGTGGAGAAGCGATTGTTCCAAAAATAGTGTGTAGAACATTCCTGTAGAGTTAAGCTCTGTACTAAAAACTCCCCTGATCTCAGGCTGATTGTTGCCTGGTTCTTTATCTAAATACCTAGGGATACAGAGATGTCGCATAGTACCTGCACTGTTAATGAAACTTGCCCAGTGGAACAAGGATTGATGCTGGAGAGGGCTTATCCATATGCCCAACGTAGGAAAGTTGAGTAGGGGTAGTTATGGGGCAAGGAAAGACTGTTATTGACAGCCTAAAAAGAGTGAAGAGATGATTGGTTTGCCCTTCTGGAGACCCAGGACTTTGCCTCCTCTTCAACTTTGTCTTTGTCCTTGCTTTATACAATGCTTTAAGACATGTTGTGGTCAGACTTGCATTTAGGAAATTCACTACAATCACCTCTGTTTTCAAATATATTTAATGACTTTCAATTATCTATGGGTTGAAATGCATTCTATTAAACTAGCATTTTAGGCCTTCCATAGAATGATCATCCTTATTTACTGGCTAGTTTTCTCTGACAACTTTAAGCTCATTGACTCAAATTCCAATTTACATGCCTTTGCTGATACTATGTTCTCTATTTTGGTAAGCCCTTCTTTTATTGCCACCCATTCAAATCTTACCTATCTTACACCGTCAAGGTCAGCCTCTACAGCGTAACTTCTGATTTTCTAGAGATATTAATTCTTCTTCCTTCAGACTCTCCAGTTTCCCTGTACAAGCACCAAACTGAAAATTAAATTACAATAAAATATGGAATAAGGTATTTAGCTCCTTGATAAACTTGTAAGTTCACTAAGAACAAGGACTGAATTATATTCATCATTGAATTGTATATAGTGTCTTGTGCACATATTGAGGACACAAGAAAATTATGGAATTTTTTATGTTGATTCTGTTGTGTTGTTGCTTCTAGGTCAAAACAGGTAAGAACTTTTCTGGAAATACCTAACTCATCTCTATGGTAGATAATGAGACATGAGCTGAGTCTGATACTAAAGAGATAGAGATTCATTTAGATAAGCAGAGACAACTTATGTGTTTTGATGTCATCAGTCATTTTGTTTTGTTTGTTTTTCTTTCTTATTTTTTTTTTGAGAAAAAAAAATAGATGGGGCCAATGTGCCACATGATCTAGATGTCTTGTACTCTTGTATTTTAATATTTCCTATTAATTATTAATCTAAAAAATCTAGTCCCTGTAAGTGGAGCTGATGGGCATCATTTATCTAGTCTATTGACTTCAACGACCCAACTCAAATCTTTCATTTCAATCTCACCTTCTTAAAAATATTTCTCCTATCACCTTTTTCTGGGTGATGTCCCTGTTGCCAGTCCCCTCAAATTATTTAAAAACAATGTAGTTAGATGCAGACATCTACATTTTTAATTATCGTACATGCAGAAGATATGTGTTCTTTGTTTGGGGTTATTTTTTCATTGCTTTCAAAGACAAGTCATATCCAGAATCAAATGAAAAAATAAAAACCATTCAGAAGACATTGTTCAGGTGAAGGTCATTTTGTGCTTTGGATTCAACAGCAGCTGAAATGTAAAATACATTTTCTCCTCCCCTTTTGGTTACCATGGGGATAGCAGAATACCTTATATACAAAGTTTGTGGGAGGAATAACCTTGGAAATTCTTCTACTAAAGAATGATTTAAACCTTGTCCTGACACATGAATCATGGGGTGGTGCTTTCTATCAACATTCTTTGCTCCTTGGAACCAGAAAAGCCAGTATCTGGTTACTGGTGCTGCCACTTCTGCTGGGAACTCACTTTGACAGTGGAAATTTTCTGAATTCATTTTGAAGTAGTTGCATGTACTCACGAACATTCAAATAGTATTTTCATCACAGGTATATTTTGGACATGTTACTGATATTCTGCACTATATAAAATGACATTTGGAACAGCTTAATTTTTATTCTCAGTGAGAGGGAAATATTCTAAGAAATTATTTCAGTACTTGAATAATGTCTTCTAGAATTTGGATATAATGGAAATAATGTGCTACTTGTGATTAATTTTAATTCAATATTACCTTCACTCTTTATGTCTTAAGATGGCTATATGTAATTATATATATATATAATTGTATACATTAGTTCAAATGGTGTATCTTATCTTTTTTTTTTTTTCTTTTGTGGAAATCATCACTTTTCAGCACTCTTTTTCTTGAAAAACAAGAATAAATGTAAGGATATATTAAAACATTCTAAAATTATTAAATTTGGTGTCTTCACTGGTTTTTATTTATTACAAAGAAAGAGAAATATCTGAAAAAGCATGTGAGTAGATCATGAGATCAAACTAATTTTTTATTTACTTACCTAAATATTTTATCAGAAATCCTTTTGTGACTACTTTGCTTGCTATAGTTTTTAAAAAATTGCTTCAATCTCACATATTTCATTTTACATTTATTAACACATTACAAATTTTTCTCTACTACCCATTAACAACCAAATTTTACTTTAAAAAGGTCATTATTTTCATAATAGTATGTTCTATTAGTCTTTCCTTCACAAGCACTTCCTTTCCTATCATATCTTGACCAATTTTCTTTGCCACAATTCAAATATATGTTCATCTAGGATACCATGTTCAAAGTCTAAACTCATAAGGGATCTTTAACCCTACCTTGTCTACCCCCAATCTAAAGTTCTATACATGGTGGCCTTGTGCTATCCCACAGAATCACAGGACATCCACTAGTTTACTCAATTCATTATGTTTGTGATTTCTCTCTCTCATAGAGGTACAAATAAGATATAAATAGATACAGATATACAATATACATATCTCCATATAGCGGTGCCTCTTTGTGGATACCTTTATATGGATATATCTACATTTATATATCAATATTCATCATATAGATGATAGATGGATGGATGGATAGATCGATAGATAATGCTGATTTCAATCTTTTGCACTTAGATGTGTCTTTTCTTTTTTTTTAAGATATTTGTTTATTTATTTATACAAGAACCGGGGTACAGGCCAGATTCACAGGAGGGTGAGAGGATTCACCAGAGACAGAGCGGGGAACAGAACAGGCAGACTGACTGAAATACACTGCCGAGGGGAGCAGTGGGCGAGACAGGAGAGGTCTGCCACGCCGTGCGGGACGCTCGCCCGCTGCCTGGGATCGAACCTGCGCTGCAGAGACTGTGGACAGCTTCACAACGCTGTGCTCAACCTCCTGTGCCACCAGGGGAGGCCCTAGATATGTCTTTTGTTCTTATACCCAGTCTCTTTTTTAGCTTGGATTTTTTTTTTTGGGGGGGATTGACATTTTTCTTTTTGCCAGCATTGCATTTGATATTGGACACATTTACATTGATGGACTGGAACTAATTTTGGTACACAGATCCTAGGACTTCAAATGTAATTAGGCAACATTTCTTGCTATTGATTCATCTATATTATTGTCCACTGTCACTAGCAATTCATTAACACACCACTGAACTTATATTAATTCACTCTGCTTGTGAATACTGAATATTAGAATTAGTTCCCACCACCCAAATGAATTTTAAATTGGCCCTGTTTCTTTGCATTACTCACACCAGACTGCAAGATGACTGCAACACCTTTAAATACTCAATTGTCCTCATTTATTTACATATTCTTCTTCCCAACAAGACTGTGATGTCCTTGAGGACAAAGACAACAACTGATTCATTATTGTGTGCTTCCCGGTACCTCACTAGGTGCGCAGCATATCACAAATGTTTATTAAGGCAGAAATTCAGAGTATTTCCTCTCCTTTTTCTGATTCAAATAAACAAAGTCTGCTTTTGGCATCACTGTGAAACCTTAGTGGGCTTATTATAGGAAATATAAAATGGTTCCGTCCCAGAGAGCACTCCTGAGGTTGTATGAAACACAAGCCCATTAACCATATCTGGAGATGAGCAGACATGACATGTTGTGTTGGATCGGATCCTATGAGTGTGGTGTAGAGACTGTGTTGAATTTTCCTCAGGGAGCAAGAGACCGTGGAAAAGTGAAAGGAGGAAGAAAAAGATAAGGAGAAAAGACAACTTCTAGGTAAAGGTCATTTGAGATGTTCCACCACGTTTTATTTTTTATTATTTGTAATTATGTCCCAAATTATATTGTGCTATTCAGATCCACCCCTGCCTCCCACCCTCACAGTGACTTTTTGCTGTTCTTTACCTTCTCTATAGAACCTTTGTAGGAGGGGATAATGAGAAAGTTTTCAAGAGGAAGCTATTTATTTTTTTTAGAAATTATTATTTTACTTTTTGTCTATATATTACTTTATTGTTTTTTTCTTGTAATTGAGGTAATATTGAAGTGTTCCCATCAGATATTACCGCCATAGTGCACCTGACACCAAATCACCCATATTTTACCACCATAGGCCACTGAGGAAGCTAATTTTAATGAGAACGACAACAACTTTGATTAAACTAATATCCACTTTAGTTTCAATGACAACTAGCATTTCAAATTCTTCTGTTATTCCTGTTTGGAAGTCTTGCCCATAGCAAAGATTATCAGTTTACACTTTCACAGTTTCCTTTATCCATTTTTATATTCCACTACTTTTCAAAGCCTTGCTTGCTTGCTTATTGCTGTATGTGTAAGGGGTGGTGGTGGAGAGGAGGTAGGGGATTATGTATTTGGGCAGAATCAGCAGGGTCTTTAGCAGGATGGAAAAGGCAACTCTGGAAAGAAGAATGCAATTGTTCTAAGTATGGATGTTTGTAAATCAGGTGTTTGTAGCTGAAAAATTTTTACATATTATATATCCTTAACAAACTCTGCTATGAATCCACATTTTTTGTATAAAGGTGAGTATGGGTTCTGTGGAAACCATAATTTTGGAATTGTGCAAGCCTGAACCCTTGGATCTATGACTTTGTGTTTCAAAGTCAGGAATGTGTAGTATGTGGGAAAGTGTTCTTGGGGCTCAGATCCCGTTTTGGTCTCAATTTCATAGTCTTTGCAGCTTAAAAAAATAATCCACTGAAAATCTTTGGTGGGGAATGTAACTTTCCAACAAGTTTTCTTTATTCTTTTGTGATTCTAGAAATTTGATTATATCAATTAGGGAGAGTTCACATTCCCTTAATGTCCCCAGGGAGTTTCATGTTTTATTCTCTAGTAATTCACATAAAGTTATGAGTGTGAACAAATCTCAGCTATCAGAGAACATCACCAGTTTCCTTGAATAAACTATAAGAAAAGAACATTTTTTTGGATCAATAAAATGTGATGTAAAAAAAGGGCAAACATTGTTTAAAAATGAACAATGATGTAAAATATATATAAATAAAAATAAATTAAAATGTGATATAAAAGGAATATATAAACTTCAATGGTATAAGTCTTCCCTTACAAAGACTATAAATCTCTATGTATAAAGAAATTTACATAGTTTATATATAGACAATAAATGTTATATACACACATTTATATATAGAATGAAAAATGTGTAGTTGAACCAACATATGACAAATATGCACTATGTAAACATATATAACAAATACATATTTGGTGTATGCAATTTTGTATCTGATATGTACATGTATAATCTTATATTAAAATATTGAACATATTGAAATTATGTTGAGCCATATTGAAATATGGCTATTTCTGAATCACAATATCTATGTTAACATTAGAGGTTCAAATATAAATAAGTACAGCCCATAACCAACTCCAACTCCCAGCTCCCCTTTCCAACAAAGGAACTAGCTGGGCAGGAAGGGCACAGCATGAGCAGCTGTGTGACTGTGCACATTCCCAGCTTCCCCTTGCTCTCAGCCATGTATCTTTAAACCATTTTGAAGTTGGATTAAAGTAGGGTTGGTGTACAAAAACAAAGAAAATAATCCAGTCAAAAAATGGGCAGAAGAGCTAAAAAGAAACTTCTCTGAAGAGGAAATGCAAATGGCCAAGGCATATGAAAAAATGTTCAACATCACTTGTAATCAAGGAAATGCAAATCAAAACTACCATGAAATACCATCTTACACCAGTGAGAATGGCACATATTAAAAAAACTAGTAACAACAAATGTTGGCGAGGATGTGGAGAAAAAGGAACTCTTCTGCACTGTTGGTGGGAGTGCAAACTGGTCCAACCACTATGGAGAGCTGTGTGGAGATTTCTGGACCTACTAAACATAGAGCTTCCATATGATCCAGCAATTCCACTCCTAGGTATTTACCCAAAGGACACAGAAACATCAATTCCAAAGAGCACCTGCACTCCTATGTTTATAGCAGCACTGTTTACAATAGCTAAGCTTTGGAAACAACCCAAATGCCCAAAAATAGATGACTGGATCAAGAAGATGTGGTACATATATACCATGGAATATGACTCAGCATTCAAAAAAGATAAACACATGCAATTTGCAGCAACATGGATGGCGCTGGAAGGGATCATGCTCAGCGAAATAAGCCAGAGAGAAAAAGAAAAATACCGGATGGTCTCACTCATAGCAGGAATCTAGAAAACTTAAATAAGGGACCAGGAAAAAGAATAACTGTAAGAAAGAAAATATCAAAATCAACAAACAACTATGAACCAGATACACTCTATGGGGGGTTTGGGGGGCGGGGAAAGGAGGGATTGGGGTCAAAATAAGGGGTTTGTAATTGTATGGGGAATATAAAAATAAAATTTAAATTAAAAAAAAAGTAGGGTTGGTGTATTATTGTATTCTGTTGATACAATAGATATTTCTTGCTCAGCTGGCCTCCCTTTGTGGTCTAGAAAGGCAGAGTGTTTGCTATGTTCCTTACAATTATTATTATTTTTTTAAAGATTTATTTTTATTTATTTATTTTATTTATTTATACAAGCACTGGGTACAGTCAGAAGCGCGGGAGGGTGAGAGAATTCACCAGAGCCAGAGCGGGGAGCAGAGCAGGCAGAAGGATCGAAGTACACTGCTGAGGGGAGCAGCGGGCGGCAGGAGAGGTCTGTGCACCATGTGGGACCCTCCTCCGGTGGCCAGGGAGCAGCCAGGGATTGAACCGGTGCTGCAGAGGCTGTGGGCAGCTTCGCAAACCAGCGCTCAACCGCTACGCCACTGGGATGGCCCTCCTTACAAATTTTTTTAATCACATTTTCTTTAGAAAAAAGCATATTTATGAAGTCCTACTATGTGCAGATTCTATGAGGGTGAAGCATTCCTATTACATCTAGGGAGCTCACCATCTAAAGAGTTTTTGTCTTATATGATATTATGTGTATTTAACTTTGTATTATAACTGTGTTTAGGTTTACATATTGAGAGGTTTTCTGTAAAGGGTATTTCTATGCAGATGTACTGAAATATAAGACGGTTACATTACAGAGTTATTTGCAATGAATCCTAACTTCAGATCTAAGAACCAAAATAAAGAAAAAAAGGCTCTTCAATGAGAAGATAAAGTACATTGTATAAACAAAAAAATTCTTTTTAGCCTGTAAAGAAAAAAAAATAATGTGCATTTTTCTGACAGTGATTGGTGAGCTTCCAAATATCTGTAGCCTATGTTATTAAAGTTAAATAGTAAAACAATATATCTTCATAAGTCTTTGTGTAACTTTGACTTTAAAACCAACTGAGTTATTGATCAAACGTGGTTTCCCTTTTTCTAAGGAAAAAAAAAGACCTTTAAAAATCTGATAGAGCTTATTGGTGATCAAGTACTTTGTAGAGAGTAACATTTTGATGAAGAAAGTGAGAATAAATCAGTAACATATGGATTACATTTACCTTTAAATGTGTAGACTTTTTAAGATGTTATGAGGAAAATTCTTGGCAAAAATGTGCTTCCATTTGGAATCTGAAACATATCTGCAAAAAACACAAAATGGTGGGTAACAGGAGAAATTAATATTCAAATCCTACAAAAGGCTGAATTTCTTTCTCATTCAAAAATGTCTGGGACTGGGCCTCCGTGGTGGCGCAGGAGGTTGAGTGCCGCACTGTGAAGCTGTCTGCAGCCTCTGCAGCGTGGGTTCGATCCCGGCCGGCTGCCGAGAATCCCACATGATGAAGCAGACCTCTCCTGTATCGCCCGCTGTTCCCCTCAGCAGTTTATTCCTTCAGTGTGACTGTTCTGTTCCCCACTCTGTCTCTGGTGAATCCTCTCACCCTCCCACACATCTGGCCTGTACCCCAGTTCTTATATAAAAATAAATAAATAAACAAACAAACAAATAAATAAATAAATAAAAATGTCTGGGACTATTCTGAAACACACAGCCAAGCCCTAGAATGACTGGTCCGAGCTAAAAATTCAATTGTGCATGAAATTTGTAGAACAATCCAAAGGGCAGCCAGTTGAACAATCTTACAACTATAACACTAAATAATACAGAATTTCCAATATATAACTTGAAAAATCTCTTATGAGTGGCTAAGGGAGTATATAAGATGTATGTATACATGTGTGTGTGAAACATTTAGCAACCTGCAGTTGGAAATAGAGCACTTATGTTCCAATAATTCATTGTCCTATCATTTTTGTGATGCATCTGTTTAATTTTTTTGTAAATATGTAAGTGGCCTTTCTGAGAGGTAGGTGCTCACACCTACCTCAAAATATCCGTAACCCAGGTGGTAGTACTTCCAGGATTTCTGAAAGAGCAGTGAGTCAGTTTTTAAAAGTCAATTTCTGGAAATTTCCTCACAGAAGGATGACTATATGTGCTTTGTGAATCTTCATGGAACCAAATACCATCGTATTTCTTCTCCTCCCTTTCCTCATAGACAGACAAAGGATGCCAAGAGATTCCAGGAATGACTGTTGAGGGAACGGACCAAAAGTAGGATGGCCACACAGTGGTGTGTGGGCCTCAAGCCTGACGTGATTACTTGGGCCAGGTAATTGGGAATGACTCATCACAGGGGACCTCCTGGCTAACATTTTCCATAAGTTCCAATGTCTCACCCTTTAGCAGTATAACCAAACCTGACTCTAAACATGGAATTGCTCTTGTGGTCTTAAAATTGAACCAAAACCTGAAACACAATGAGACATGGAATCCCAAGTCATTGTCTCTGTGACCCCATGAGTCAGCATCTCCTTCCCTGTATGGCTCCTCTGAGTGCCATAGCTTCCCAGGAGCTCATGATGTGCAAAGTCAGGCTTGTTGACCATGAAGAGTTGGATGAATCTTTCATTTGTGTCAATATTTCCCTTTTATTTGTAAGTAAATTTTGACCTTCTTGAATGATAACTGTTCTATTTTTTTATAATGCCAAGGCATTAATTGTTTTCTATTGTTTGTGTCCTGATTACACATTCTTTTTCTAGAACACTGTAAGATTTCTGATCTTATAAAACAGTTTTGGAATGTAAAAAACATGTCTCATTCTTTTCTCAGCCAGAACATACTAAGAGGACCTGATTCTTAACTGGGTCACATGAAGAAGCCAGCACCACAGCCTTTGAAGTTCAGGTAAGAGGAAATCATCACTTTGCTCAGCCCCCTCTTCCACCCCCAGATCTGGATTTTCTTCATCTCTGCTCCCACCCCAATGTCTTGGCTCATGTGCAAGTCCTGGCAGAGGAGTCTGGTAGGTAAATCCCAGAGCTTCGCTGCAGCCATATTGACGGCAGGCAGTGGTACAGCCCTTCCCAAATGCTCTAGAGCATGGAGGCATGTGCATGGCCAGAGAATTCCTGGGCCCTGAGCTCCAGCACCACCTTGAACACTGCACTTTACAGTGATTTTCTCCCAATCCTGTCCAAAGGCCAGTCTCAGGAATAGCTGTCTTGATCTTGGAACAGCCTAGTCTCCCAGTCTCAAGGAATGGGCAAAGCTTGGAGGACCACATGATTCCCTGCTGTGAGATTCTAGATACATCTAGCCTACTGCTTCAGCCTGTTCTCTATCAAGGATTCTCAGTTTTTTGACTATGACACACAGAAATCTCAGCCCAGCCAAACTATGCACCCATGTACACTGACACATGAATGCCACATAACAGAAATTAATAGTTTCCCAAAACCTTACCTTTACATGCCAATATACCTGGAGTTTTTTTTTGTTTTGTTTTGTTTTGTTTTGTTTTAAAGATTGATTTATTTATACAAGAACCAGAGTACAAACCAGATGCGTAGAAGGGTAAGAGGATTCACCAGAGACAGAGTGGGGAACATAACAGGCAGACTGACGAATTACACTGCTGAGCGGAGCAGCGGGCTAGACGGAAGAGGTCTGCTGTACCCTGTGGGATTCACACCAGCTGGCCGGGATCAAACCGGCATTGCAGAGGCTGCGGACAGTTTCACAGTGCGCGCTCAACCGCCTGCACCACCAGGGAGGCCCGAGGTGTTTTTTTGTTTGTTTTTCTATTCTTTTATTTTTTTCTTTTAATCCTTGTCATGACCCACCAAATTGATTTCACGACCTTCATATGACCACAATCCAGTTTTAAATACAGTGTTCCATATGATATGATTTATTTGCATGTTAGAAAACATTTAAATAACACAGTAATGATAACTGTGATCTTTTGAGCACCTACTGCAATTCAGGCATAGGGCTAGATGCTTGCATACATTATTTCTAATCCTTACACTCTTTTTATAAGGTAGATATTATGTTTATTTTATAGAAAAGATATTCAGGGCCTCCCCAGTGGCGCAGCAGTTGAGCGCTGGGTTGTGAAGCTGCCCGCAGCCTCTGCAGCGCCGGTTCCATCCCTGGCTGCTCCTCGGCCACCGGAGGAGGGTCCCGCATGGCGCGCAGACCTCTCCTGCTGCCCGCTGCTCCCCTCAGCAGTGTACTTTGGTCCTTCTGCCTGCTCTGCTCCCCGCTCTGGCTCTGGTGAATTCTCTCACCCTCCCGCGCTTCTGACTGTACCCAGTGCTTGTATAAATAAATAAATAAATAAATCTTTTAAAAAAAAAAAAAGATATTCAAGTTCAAGAACTTAAAATATGTAGACTTTATAATATAGTTCAGCATTTTTAAATATCTTATTCACAAAGACTAACTGTGGGGTATGGATATATTGGATATAGATGTATGTGTATATAGCTTATAAGCTTGTGAATAGAGTCAGAGGAAGTGGATTGCAGGGCACTGGGGACCTCAGGAGAAAAATATAAACAAATGAACTTTATGTAATAACTTATGGTACAATTTTTAGGCTTGAAGTAGTGCAGCTATAAAAGGAAATCCCGGCATATATCATTCAGTAATATCTTTGCAGGTTAAAGTCTCTTTCTGGAGAGAAAAATGTAGCATGTTTTTATTTCTCTTTTTAACATGTACAAACCAAACCTGTCTCAAAATACTGTTAATTAAAAATGGAAAAATGAACCAGAGAGCTGATGATATTTGGTCATCTGCTCTCTAAGCACTTGGTTAGGCTGTCTTCAACAGGAAATGATTCAAAGAAGCAATATTTGTTGTCTTTGTTTTTGTTCTACTTTGTTTTAATAGAGACAACACCATGGGTGCTGAAGCATGAATCACAGTGATGTTTAAAGATACTTTATCTCTTTGGCTTGTATAATAGTCTCAGGCTTAGGAGTCAGGTTGTGGGATCATAAAGGGAAGTCACTGTCTTGCCTGCTTCTGGTATTTGTACTTCTGCGGTAGTTTGGATACTATCAAATGTATTGCTTTCCCTCAGCCCTGATGTTTGGCATCTAACAACACTGTGGGATTGAGGTTGACGTAAAAAAGAAAGCAATCTACCCAGATTGGTCCTTGTGCCCTGGAACAAGCCTATTTGGCTCACAGCCAGGAGTGTGCAATCTGTCGTGCATTTCTCGCCAAATGCTAACTACCTTGCCTCCTACTCCTAGTTGATGTACCTTCTCTTCCTTTCAGTCACAGTCTGCAAATGACAGCAGAACTCCACATGTGCAATGAAAATCCTAAGGCATCAAGAAAATCAGAAGTTCCCCCACCTTAGCATAACCTATAGACTAAAGGCTACCATATGAGAGCAGCAAGAATCTTTTGATCATTTTTCTTTACCTTTTTTTTTGTGTGTGTGGGGGAGGGGATGTAAGAAACCACTCATGATTAAGTTAGGAAAAAAGTTACACACATGGGTTTTTATGGAACTTTCCATGCTCTATGTGACTTTTCAGAAATAGCAAATGTTAAGGTCAATTCAGACCTAAACATCTGTGGAATATGATCTATAATGGGCCCTAGGATTAAATGAGACAGAGGAGCAGCAAGAAAGAAGTAGGTTCTGCCATACTGAAAAGGAACACTCCTCAAAGAGACTGTAGAAGTGCCAGCTAGAAAAATAAGCCCAGCCTATGGGAAAACTGGGTTGCTACATGCAAAAGAATGAAGCTTGACTACTACCTCACACCATACACAAAAACCAACTCAAAATGGATTAAAGAACTAAACATAAGACCTGAAACCATAAAATACACAGAAGGAAATATAGGCGAAACACTACATGATATGCACATCAAAGACATCTTTACAGACACATCACCCAAAGCAGTGATAGTGAAGGTAAAGATAAACAGCTGGGACTACATCAAATTAAAGGGCTCTGCACCACAAAAGAGACAATAACAAAAACAAAGAGAAACCCCACCGACTGGGAGAACATTTTTTCACACAACACTAATGATAAAGGACTAATCACAAAAATCTACAAAGAGCTGATGAGACTCAACAAAAACAAAGAAAATAATCCAGTCAAAAAATGGGCAGAAGAGCTAAAAAGAAACTTCTCTGAAGAGGAAATGCAAATGGCCAAGGCATATGAAAAAATGTTCAACATCACTTGTAATCAGGGAAATGCAAATCAAAACTACCATGAGATACCATCTTACACCAGTGAGAAGGGCACTTATTAAA